TCTCTCTCTCTCTCTCTCTCTCTCTCTCTCTTTCTCTCTCTCTCTCTCTCTCTCTCTCTCTCTCTCTCTCTCTCTCTGAGTTGGTACTGTGTGGTGGTCTGAGTGAAAGGGTCCCCACGTCCTCACAGGGCACAATTATAAGCTATGGAGTTGAAGTAGTCGTGGCCTTGTTGGAGGAAGTGTGTCACTGGGGGTGGGCTTTGAGATTTCAGCAGATGCCAGGCCCAGGGGCTCACTGTCTCTTCCTGTTGCCAGTCTGGATTTAGAACTCTTAGCTACCTCTCCAGAACCATGTCTTCCTGTGTGCCCCGATGCTTCCCTCCACGATGAGAATGGACTAAACCTCTGAACTGTAAGCCAGCAATTACATGTTTTCCTTTATAGAGCCGCTGTGCTTATATCTCTTCACAGCACTACAACCCCTAAGACATATGGTAACTAAGGGAAGACACATGGACATATTTACCGACACTCATAGCCTTGCTGGCTTCCCAAGATACACACCACTCACACAGTTAAAAACCAGACTTTACAAAATCTTTTCAAAATATTGCATGCATCTTCTTTCTATTCTTAGGAAGACTCCCTTTCTCAGGAAGACTGGGCAGGACAGTCACCTATGCTCACAATGTGGTACACTGTTAACACCCAAGTTTTCTCTTATTGAGAACAAACTAAGTCCTGGTGGGCAGTGAAGATAGTAGACTGTGGTTCTGAAAGGTGGGAGGCCATAGCTGATTCCCAGTGGTGGATGGTGGGAATGGACCACCCAGGTCAAGGGACTTCATTTATTCTCCAGTCAGCCTCCATCTGTCTGTGGTCAGCAAAACAGTCACCTGCCTTGCCTCCCGCATCCTGTATATGCTGGCTAACTGCAGTGTCACCATAGGAAAATACAAGTAACATCTCTCCTCACCAAATCAGGCTGACACAAAACACTCACTGCACAGTAAGAGGTGAACTTCATGAGTACTTATTCATTTTGTACTATCTTACCCTGCTGTGACCTATGGTTTCAATAAGGAAATCTAGTTGAGTTGGTGCAGTGACCAAGTGCTTCAAATGCCATAAAGATCTTCTCTCTAGAAACTTTACTGATTTGATATGCTGCTCGCACAAAGATCTAGTGCTGTTGCTCCGATACGAAACAAAGCACTTTCAGGAATATGGCTTTTGCCTGCCACTCAAGAGTCAGAATGGAGGCTAGGTGTTTGGTGGCCCATGCCTTTAATATCAGCACTTGGGAGGCAGAGGCAGGTTGATCTCTTTAGTTTAAGAGTTCAGGCCAGCCTGAACTACAGAGCAAGTTCCAGGACAGCCTGCGCTACATAGAGAAACACTGTCTTGATAAACCAAAATCCAAGAACCAATCAAACAAACAAAAGTCAAGGTAGGAAAGATGAGTGCTATAGGTCCGCTACATACAAGGGCACACACAGGCTGACAGGTTAATAAGGCCCTAATATGCTTCTATCTTTCAGGAAACCAAAGGCTAAGTTCTTATTAATTCACCTGTTTGACAAAACTCATAAATAGGCAGATGAAGAAGAAAACCTTATTTCCATATTCACAGTGGGGCACTCACTCAGGAGATGGGTCTGGATGAAGATGAGGTACTAACCACACAACACCCTTTACATTATCATTGGAAAATTCCATAAGCAAAGCACAATAAGGCACCATGGTCCCTTATGACTAGTCACTCAGGCTGCCATACTGACAGCTGACCATAGGCAGCAGTGTCCTTTGAAGGTGTAACTTCCAGTTGAACTCCCCCTCCTTCTAATGTCCCTGCATCTCCTAGCAATCCCTATCCTCAGCTTGGAGCTTATCTGAGCTCCATAGGCTCAGCTCAGGAACAACATTCCTTGATGCTATGGACACATTTCCAACTCTGTGGCAAAGACAGAGGCAATGTGAGCACATGAAAATGATACCCTAGATCTAAATCCAGAAGCTGTGGGTCACTTTGGATAAGAAGTACAATTCTAAGCAAAACTTTAGATTCTTCAGTCTTGGGCTGCTTAAGCCACAAGTGCATGTGCTCTATTTAGAAGGCCTGTTATTAACAGCAAAATGAACCCCAAAAAGACCTGTTAGTAAATGCTTCAGTGACACCTTCCTCTGGATTAACTTATTAAAAAAATAAAACCAATATTTATTTTATGTGTATGGGTGTTCTGCACTGAGTGTGTGCAGTGCCTGTGGATCCTGGAGTGGAGGGCACCCCTGGAACTGGAGTTACAGGTGGTGGTGAGCCACCACGTGGGTGATGGGAATCAAACTCAGGTTCCCTGGAAGGGATGAATGCTGAGCAATCCCTCTAGCCCCACATTTTTATTTTTAAGGACTAAATTATAAACCAGTATAGCCGGGCAGTGGTGGCGCACACCTTTAATCTCAGCACTTGGGAGGCAGAGACAGGCGGATTTCTGAGTTCGAGGCCAGCCTGGTCTACAGTGTGAGTTCCAGGACAGCCAAGGCTACACAGAGAAACCCTGTCTCGAAAAGCAAACAAAACAAAACAAAACAAATATGCATGCCAGTATAGACTAGAAATGTGCCCTTGAAGTGTATGAAATAAATGAAATGGGTTAATAGATCCACAGAGGAAAAGATGCGTTGATAGAAGGAGAAAATGAGTGTAATCAAGTGTTAAGGACATCTAGTGGTGGGATGAGAACCTATTTTAAAATTCTTCCAATTCTTCACAATAGTTGATTATTATCATTAAAAGAGCACTGGAAAAAAAGCTAAGCTTAAACAGGCATGGAATAACTGAGTTTCAAACAGTAAACTGCTATATCAAATTACTGGATTCCTGTTAGCACAACCTTAGGTCAATCTCCACTGTTTGGCTGTAGTGTCCAAGGACACAGCCTCTTCCTTCCATGCTACTTCTGTAAAACTCTTTCCTAACCCGCTTCAGCTCTATCCACAAAGGCTTTGCCTCACTGCTTATTTACATTCTAACACAAGTTCTTTCCTCTCTTCTTTCACCATATCCTTGCCTAAGTTCATAAAGCTCAGCCAGGTACACATAAATCCTGAGGGTCAGTGTAGACTCTACCTCTTTGACAAAACTTTTCTCTGCTTCTCTTGCCCACATTCCATGTGTGAACTAAGAACCGAGGCGTCTGATACAGTGAGAGTTGGGGAAGAAGGTAAGTCAGGAGATTCTACAGAACAGGCACTTGTACTATTTCATCAGGTGACATATATGGAGGACTCTAATATTATGGATTACTTAATCTGTGGTTGTGTTTTATTCAAGAGTAGGTCAGAGGTGCTAATGCACTGTGAATCTACCCAAGAATAGTTGGCAAAGAAAGAACAGGAACTGCAGGATGAACAAAGCTGCCAATAAATCCCATTCATATTCGGGGGGGTGGGGGGTGGGGGAAGGGGGCCGGAATCTTCCCCAGGGGGGGGGTGGTCCTGTGGCGGGAGTGATAGAGTAGGTGGGAAGGAACACAACTCCTGAAAGGGTAGGTAACCTTTCCAAAATCATTAGTTTTAATTTAAATGATTATAGAAAACAGTGCAGAAGAGTTACAGGGCATTAGAGACTGGCCCGCCACTCTGAACACACAGCTGTTTAACAGGCAGCTCCCCCTTTCCTTTGAAAGCAATGGAACCCAGCACCTAATGCTTCCAGCAAGCACAAGAGTTATTATGTACTGCATGCCCAACTCCATTCCCAAATGAATCTTTTAAAGATGAAGCCACACCTTGAAAATCTAGTTCCCTTTGGAACTGCTTTGAACTCTTTTCTCTCTTCCCATGCTCATGCTGTGCCTCCTGTCTCTTCTCCTGGATGTTTTCTACACAGTCTCCATAACTTTCCCCTTTCCTACTCCCTGTCTTCCTAGATACCCTAGGCTTACTTCTCCTATAAGTGTTTTTCCTAAATGGCTTCTATATCACATTGTTTAGTGAATAAAATTCTATCCTTTCAAATCTTTATTTTTTAAATGCCTTTATTAGTATATATTAATTATACATAATAATGGGTTTCACTGACATTTTCATACATGTATAATGTATTTTGAGCATATTCACCCGTTATCCTCTTACCCCCTATCCCTTCTCCCATTAATCCCCTCTTCTCAAATCTTAGGAGTGTAGTTCAGTGGTACAGTACTTGCTTAGCATGCAAGAGACCTTGGATTCAATCCCTAATACCACAACCAACTAAAAAACCAACCACACAGTCCCAAGGCCACAAAGTTACACAATAGAATTTCTCAATATTTAAAATGTCATATGAAGTAAAAATAAAGTTCTGGGGAATAAATGCCTCAAGGCTGTTCGTTCCCATGAGTTATTTTCTTACATAAAACCCCACTCCCACAATATATATGACTGTCCCAGTGTCTGTCTAAGAGCTGCCATGTTACTTTATGTCCTCATAGTCTGTGAAAGACGAAGTCTAATGTCCTCATGTCACACCATAGAGCAATTAGAATGACTGCTCTATCAATCCAAGGGGACAAACGGAATCCTTTGTTTACCTCCTAGAGATGTTTTAACTTATACCATCTGTCCCTTGCTAAGGGGTTAACTGTAGAAAGTTCTAGATACCTGACCAATTTAAGATCTGTATCCTGGTTGGAATCTAGCAGTCTCTTCAAAAATGAGTTCTTTGAGCTTCTCCTTAGGCAAGTCGTCCAACTCCATGTCAAACTTGAATGGGGCTTCAGCAATGGGCTTTAAGACAAAATGAGCATTTATTAGTCACAAGTTGTCACGATCAAGGGAGTGATTTATTGATTTATAGCACAATGCTGGCTTAAAGTCTGAAATTTATACAAGAGCAATGTTTTACAAACCACGAAACCCCCAGGGATTGGGGCACAGTTTACTGGGGATATGTGTGCTCTATATAAGGGCTCTCGGCACTATCCCAAGTACAACAAAGAAAGAAAAGCCGAGTGCACATAATTATTTCACTGAACTTATCATATACCCCAGAATAATTTTAAAATGTTTTTAAGGCACCAACTATCTCAGTAACAGAAATAGGAAGTAGGTGTATGTTTATATAAAAACTAGCCAAGCCCGGTGACTACTCATAATCCCCTACTACTAAGAAGGCTGAGGCCAGAGGACTGTTAAATGTGAGGTCAGCCTGGTTAACTTAGTGAGACTGTGTACGGCAAAAGAGCTGAATGTGTAACCTTAGTATAGAGTACTTAGCATATCTGAGACCTAGATTCAATATTTTGACTTCTTAAAACAACATGTTTTCCAAACAATACTTCTGTGTGTATGTATATGGGAGCATGTATGGCCAAGTACAAAGCAGGGAGGACAGAGGGAAACCACAGAAGTCATTCTTTCATTCCACCATAGAGGGAAATGAACAAGCAGTCAGGCTTCAAAAGTGCATTTACCCACTGAACCATCTTGCTGGACCCATTTTTTTTTTCTTAAATTTCCTACAACAAAAATATTACAGGCCTAAGGAGGACAATGATACCAGCTGTCAATCAGTATATACCTAGACCTCCAGATCTCATGTGGTGCTTAATCCTCATACACAGAATTCCCATCTGCAAGGTAACAACTGTCCTTCAAGGACACTGAATGTACAGGACTATATAAAGCACCCTATGCATAGCATACACTGCCTCAGCTTGCTAAGCATAACAGCAAAATCGTATGAAATAAATACCTAGTGCAAGGGGCTGAGAAGAGCCTGAAATCTTTGAGTTCCCAACAACTGACTACATTGTAAGTATTTTGCAAGCTCCCTTATAAGTGCTAGAGGGGTAGTCTTGGATGTGAAAGGGAACACCAGTTAGAAAAAAGCTTCATCTTGATTTCCACATTCTTCCATTTTATCAGCTTTTAGCTAAGACATTTTCCTTTTGCATCTAAATTTGAATATACTCTACCTACTTAAGGACAGGTTTCATTTTGTATTCTCCGAAGTCCCCAACTAGAGAAACCTAACATTTTAATTCACTTTCCATTTTCCTTTGTTATCCTTGATGGAATAAAGTTCCTATGGAGCCTTCAGGGGATCCAGAGAACGCACTGGGCTCACTCTGGAGACAACACAGGATGGTGTGTGCATACCTGTCTGAGGAGCTATCACACCGACCTCTGATGTAATACCTACCTCATCAACTCTTACCACAAGCTCTCATGTCCTGTCTCCAGAGAATGGCACACTTGTTAAAAGCCATGAAGTCACAGTGTGAGCCACTGGATGCCTACCTCCTCTCACTTCCTCAGGGCCAGTATGTAGTTCAAGTAGCTTTTTCTGCCATGGACCACTACAATTTCTAGCTGTGGTAGTATAAAAAAAAATTGAGTTCCACTGGCTCATACTTTAATACTTGGTTCCCAGTTGGTGAACTATTTGGGAAAGATTACAAAGTGTGGCCTTATTGGAGGAAGTGTGGCACAGGAGAGGCCTTTGAGGCTGCAGGAGACTTATGTCTTTTTTGGGTTCTCAGCTACTACTCTAGTACCATGCTCTGCCTGCCTGCTTCCATGCCCCTACCATGAGGCCATGGACTCTAACCCTCCAAATTTAAACACTTTTGTTTTTAAGTTGCCCTGGTCATGGTATTTTAAGGCACTGGCTCCCACCTTCTATGCTTTACAGCAGTGCAACTGTCTTCCCTTGCACACTGCTCTACCAGCTACAGCTAACCTGGAAGAACTCTTCTGAAGCAAACACCACAGGCCTATAGGTAGGAACTCCAAGTTGAGTTTGACAGTGCTCATCCTCAATTAGAGGAGGAGGGCATGCCATAATGTTCCTTAGGAAAATCTTGACAAGGACATTGCTACGGCTTCTGTTGATACTGAACATTCCTGACACAACAGCCAGGAACATAAGCTCTTACCTCATCACTTGGGTCATAATACTGCTCCAGGTATGGGTGGGCCAGAGCCTGTTCAACTTCAATCCTCTTGTGAGGGTTAAATGTCAACATTTTATCCAGTAAATCCAGAGCTACAAAGAGAAACGATTTTGCAGTGGTGAGAAGCAGGACTTGTTAGCAAATGGTTTCATTTTCTATTGAGTTGACCCTCAAGACAGTAGGGTACTACTGTATGTCTCTCTTTAAAAACTATACATGGATGGGGCTGGAGAGATGGTTCAGCAGTTAATAGCACTGACTATTCTTTTACAGGACCCGGGTTCAACTCCCAGCACCCACATGGCAGCTCACAACAGCCTGTAACTCCACTTCCAGGGGACCTGACATCCTC